TCCGTTGAGACAAACTCCCTGGCATGCTTATCTCTCTATTTGGCCGATTTCTACTCTTCCGGCCGCCTCCCAAAGCCTGGTAGAGGCTAGTGCCCGGATCGGACCTCACTGGTATTACATACAGCGTCCAGGGATATCCTCCTGTGTAGACTTTTAGCTGGCCGGCGTTTGTTTCTACCAGTGGCTAGAGCGGCTGTTTCCTTTTAGTGGGACATCCGCGCGGGCGGATATAGCTCTCCCCTCGACGCTTTCAGTGGGCTCGGGGATTTGTCTCTTGTGTGTATGTTGTCCGGTCCGGCTGTCTTGCTTTCTATGTCCCCTCTCCATTTGCTGAAATGGTACATAATCGTTCGTTACATATTTTCCGACGAAAACAAGGCAAAGGAAGTGGCAAACAAATTCAATGTACAACATGTCAATATTCAAAATCCAGATGGAACAAATATGAACCGCTTACATGAAATATCTTCCGTCCTTGGCGAGAGACGCCGGGTGGCGTCGGGCTATCTGGCAGGGTTCCCCGTGCATGTTTCTGCTCAGCCTAGCGGTAGTCTTGCTCTTGGAGTCTGCTTGGGAGGTAATTCTTCCAGCCGTACTTTTCCCTGAGGATGATGGCTAAGTTCTCATCGTCTCCTTTTTCATGGTTCCAGAAACCGTAGACATTTTATAGAAAATTAGATTGCTCAGTGCACACTCTGCAATGCTCAAACATAGAGTGACGTCCACTCCAACTGACAGATTTGAAATTTGTATCATAAGCACTGATTGGCTGTCGTTTCATGCGGGGTATGAGACGATTGGCTTACTAGTATTTTAGGTCAGAATTTACATAGCCGGTGGCGGCTCCAATTAAATGCTAATTGTCTGCCTAATGCAAATTGGCGGGGGTGCCAAGACAGCCATTGTTAGGTAGCTTGGGACCATCCTGGCATTTCACAATAAAACAATAGACATTAAAAAAACATGTACAGAAGAATCTTGCTGCAATGGCTACATAAATTCCATACAAAATGCTTCCCAGCTAGTTACTTCAGTCAGTCTTTCAAGGTATTCATTACATTAAAACACCGCCTGATCGCCGTAATTAAAAAAATCGAGAAAAATTAGGCGATATATATACAAGGAGGTTAAAAAAGGGCTAGTTACTTCAATCGGTCTTTCAATGTACATGTATTCATTACACTAAAATACCGCCTGATCGCCGTAATCAAAAAATCTATAATATATAGTATTGTATACAGTCTACATCTATGCTGTTTTTGGGAAGGTTTCGTTTGTCCAACTTTGGTTCCGTGCGTCTCTTCTGTTTACTCTAAATAGATACACCACAAAATTGTAATGAGACCATAAAAGTTTTAAGGGATTTCAAATATATTGTTATTAAGGAATATACCATACTTAGGTTCATAAATTGTAGTGATGTCTTCGGCTAATGAAATGTTGCCAAGCTTACAGTGTGAGGAAAAAAGGGACGAATTCTGAAATGAAGTAACGTGCTGTAGGTGAACGTGTGACCCGTCCGGCATTTGTGTCCGAGGCTAGGCAAGAAATCCTTGCGAACTTCTAAGTAATAGAGAATCCGACCTAAAGGTCTGCAATAACCTGCAATAGAACGACATAATATTGAGCAATTCGCTATTTCAAAATCTTGTTTGGGAGATGTATGGAGCGGATGAAATTATTGTAACAGTACCGGTCGGGTATTTGTTAAAACCAGCCGGGTTTCCAGCATTTTTTGTCCGAGGCTAGGCTGGGCAAGAAATCCTTGCGAACTTCTAAGTAACAGAGAAATCTGCCTAAAAGTCTGCAATAAACTGCAATAGAACGATATAATACTGAGGAATTCGCTATTTCAAAATCTTGTTTGGGAGATGTATGGAGCGGATGAAATTATTGTTTTAGTACAGAACCGGTATTTGCTAAAACTGGCCGGGTTTCCAGCATTTTTGTCCGAGGCTAGGGTAGGCAAGAAATCCTTGCGAACGTCTAAGTAACAGAGAATCCGCCCTAAAAGTCTGCAATAACCTGCATTAGAACGATATAATACTGAGGAATTCGCTATTTCAAAATCTTGTTTGGGAGATGTATGGAACGGATAAGATTATTGTTTTAGTACAGAACCGGTATTTGCTAAAACTGGCCGAGGCTAGGCTAGGCAAGAAATCCTTGCGAACTTCTTAGTAACAGAGAATTTCGGCCTAAAAGTCTGCAATAACCTGCAATAAATATAGAATGACATAATATTGAGGAATTCGCTATTTCAAAATCTTGTTTGGGAGATGTATGGAGCGGATGAAATTATTGTTTTAGTACAGAACCGGTATTTGCTAAAACTGGCCGGGTTTCCAGCATTTTTGTCCGAGGCTAGGGTAGGCAAGAAATCCTTAGCGAACTTCTAAGTAACAGAGAAATCTGCCTAAAAGTCTGCAATAACCTGTAATGGGACGACATATATTGAGGAATTCGCTATTTCAA